GGCTGATGAGGGGAGACTAAGGACAGATTAGTCCTTTGTCTTTAACATGATTCTTGCCATAAGTAGCTTTTCTCAGCTGAAAACTACCATGGAGGCTTATTCCAGGATGGCTAATCAAGATTTGTTAGGCAGTGTTGGCCTTGAGTTAAAAGTGGTTTGAAGACCATCTTGCTGTGTGCCCTGAACCACCTTGCTTTCTTACTGCTTAGTAGAGAGGCTCTACTAGTCCATGAAAGGTGCCAGCACAGATGGCTCCACCCTAATCAGGATCATGGTCACTGAAGATTGATCTTGTACAAGTAAAACAGATGTTCAGTCAGGTGTATCAGAAGACTGTAGGCACAGTGATTGCAAGTGACACTAGTGGAGATTAGCAAAGGCTCCCTCTGGCCTTTGTGGGCCAGTAGGAGGTATTTTTTAAATGAATGAAGCCATTCAAAGATTATTCTTCAAAGAAATGACTGACGCCATGCAGCAATATCAATTATCACCTAACCCAGAGAGCTTGTTACTAAGGGCTGTGTCAGAGTAATGTGCTTGGTTTGCACTTGTAGTTATTGCCTTAATTCCAATGTTAATTTTTCTCCATATACAATCAATGTAAAGTCATATCTCATAGTATTTATAAAGCATAATTCTCACTGGTCTTACTCTAATCAGAGTACCAAAGGGAATATAAATCAAATCTCTAAAAGGGGGAGGGGAATTAACTTGGGACAAAATGTTGGATTTAGCAATGACTTCTTGGATATGACACCGAAGGCACAGGTAACAAAAGAAAAAAAGACAAATTTGACTTCATGAAAACTTTTTTAAATTGTGCATTAAAAGCCATTGTCAACAGAGTAAAAAGGCAGTGGCAACCCGTAGGAGAAAACATTTGTAAATCGTGTATCTGACAAGTGATTAATAACCAGAATATAGAAAGAATTCCTAAAACACAACTATGAAACAACTGTATTCAAAAATGGGCAAAGGACTTGAATAGACATTTCTCTAAAGAAAATCTCTGAATGGCCAATAAGTACATGAAAAGATACACATCATCATTAATCATTAGGGAAAAGCAAATCAAAACTACAATGAGATACTACCTCACACACCCATTAGGATGGATATCAAAAACAAGTGTTGGCAAAGATGGGGAGGAATTGAAACCTTGTACACTCTTGGTGGGAATTTAAAATGGGACAGCCACTATGGAAAACAGTATAGCAGTTCTTCAAAAAATTAAAAATAGCATTACCATATAGTCCAGCAATTCTCCTTTTACGTATATAACCCCCCAAAACTGAAAGCATAATTTTGAATATATATTTGTATGCCCTTGTTCTTAGCAACATTATTCACAATAGTTGAAACCTTGAATCAACCCAAATGCATCCATCAACATATGAACGGATGAGCACATTTTGGTGTATACATACAATAGAATATTACTCAACCTTAGAAAGGAAGGAAATTCTGCAGTAGGCTGTAACATGGATAAATCTTGAGGTCATTATGCTAAATGAAGTAACCCAATCACAAAAGGCAAATACTGTATGATTCTACTTACATGAAGTACTTCAAATAGAACATTAAGACAGAAAGAAGAATGGTGGTTGCCAGGGACTGTGGGGAGAGGAGAATGGGAGTTATATTTAATTAGGTATAGAGTTTCAGTTTTACAAGATGAAAAAAATTATGGATGTGGATGGTAGTGATGGTTGTACAATGTTATAAATGTATTTAATATTACTGAACTGTATACTTAATTGTTAAGATGGTAACTTTTGTGTGTATTTTTCTGGTTAAAAAAATGGGAAAAAGTTAAAGCATGCTTTAAATAATAAGATACATTTTTTAAGAAATTGTGTTCTTATTAAAGCCAAATCTGGCTGCCAAATCGATACCAAAATATAAAACAAAGGCTATTTACTTTAATAAACAGAACTTGTTTTTCTCTGCTTTGTTCTTGTGTGTATATTATGTAATTTCAGTTCTTTGCTATTTGAAGTGAAATTATAACTGATTTTTATTGAGTAATGCCACTTTGGCAGGTTATAATCTACTTATGTAGTAGTGTATTAGTTTTCTATTGTAGCAGAGCATATTTCTATAAACTTAGATGCTTAAAAGAACATCCCCTTGTCAACTCACAGTTCTGTAGATTAGAAGGTAAGTTGGGCTCAGCCAAGTTCTTTGTCTAGGGTTTCACAACGCCAAAATCCAAGGTGTTGACCAGGCTGGGCCCTTATCTGAAGACTTGGGAGAAGAATTTGCTTCCAAGCTCATTCCAGTTGCTGGCATAACTTAGTTCCTCGCAGCTAGCTGTAAGTCTGAGATCCACGTTTCCTGACTGACTTCTCAGCCAAGGGCCGCTCTGCTCCTAGAGCCTGCCTACAGTCCTCCCACAGCCTTTCCATCTTGAAGGCAGCAATGGTGTGTCATGTCCTTCTCACCCTTTATTTCTGACTTGCCTTTCTGCTTCCAACTAAAGTAAACTTTAAACTTTTAAAGGGCTCTCCTGATTGGATCAGACCCAGCTGAGTTATCCCTGTTTCTTAACATCAATTTATTTGGGATTTCAGTTACATCTATAAAACCCCCTTCACAGCCTTACTTATATTTAGATTGGAGTTTGATTAAATAATCAGGGGATGGGAGTTTGGGGAAGCCATCTTTAGTGTTCTGTTTGCCACAGAGAGTATTTGATCCACTAGAAGGTTTTTTATAGGTCTGATGTAAAGTGCACTAGACTGAGGTTCTGAAGGTCTTGGGTTCTGTTTGACTGTTTAGTAATTCTGAACTTGGACTATAAGATTCTTGAGACCAGAACTGTCTTACTTATCTGTGTAGCCCCAGTGCCTGGCAGTGTCTTGTATATAAGCAGGAACTTAGAACATGTTAATTAAATGAAGTCAAACTCAGATAATTTTACCTCTCTCTTTTCTTTTCATCTTCATCGTCATCAGAGGTTCCTACAGAATTAAAACTGAGCTGGTGAATGCATGTATAAGTCTATGAAAACTCTAAATCATTACCATAGGAATAACATACAGTATCCTCACTTAATTTTTTTTTTTAAGTTAAATCTTACGGCTAGTGAGCAGAAGTAGGACATTGGTCTTCTGACAGCCTAGATTCCTAACCTTTAATAACCTATTACATATATATAGTGCTTTAGGTTTTACAAAACCCCTTTTTTAAATCTGCCTTTTAATGAACCTATTCAAGAGCCTTGAAAACTAGTACAAGTAGTATGAGCTTTTATACAGATGAGAATAAACTGAAAAATTCGACCAGGACCACCTACTTATAAGCAAAGCTAGAGATTTAAATTCAGCCCTCCTGCATAGGAAATATAGCTTGTATTTGCCAATTCCTCATCTCTTTTATTTTAAAGTTTTTTAATAGAAAGTTTTATACCCCTGATATTTAGAATTATAAGGGATGACTGAGGATGGGAGTAAGTTACAGATTCTTTTTTTCTTCTAATGCCTTAGAACTCATTTAGTTTTGTGCATTTTCTAGTATTCATCTATTGATTTTCTCCCACTTTTTTGCCTGTAAGCCCTCACTCCATTATGTAGCATAACTTTTTAATTCTGTTTTTAGACTGTTAGAAATCCTCTTGACCAAATTAAAGAAAGTAAATGGGAACAGAGGACAGTCCTGACATGTAGAAGCTCTCGTTAGGGAGCACTGACATGTGCATCTGCATGCACTTAATGTGCCGCTTCCTTCTCTGTAAGACATGGAAAGTCATTTTTCTTTATTTTTTCTATTTTCCTCTTGTTGTCACTGCTAAATTTGTAGTATGCATAATCCACGGACAAAATCCCCAAAATACAGTGCTGCTTATCTTTCAAGAACTTTGGACACAAAATGGGGGACAGGACACACTGGTACTGCAGATTCTCATTTCTGTTGGTTTTACAGAAGGCTTTCTTGGATGTTAGAATGAAATGGTGGCTTTTTTTCATAGGTCAAGCATGCTAATCTAGGTATTAAGGACTTTTTTTTATGTTTCATGTTTGGTACCAAACTAGCTTCTTGGTTTTAATATGTATGAATGATAGATACCTGTCTGATATTGGAGTTAGAGAGGTAGATTGGAGTAGGTAAAGTGTGTTTAAAACCTATGTGGCTCTATTTCACAGACACTTCAGCTGCTTTCCCAAACCAAAGCCTGGTATCACAAACTACAGCTGGTTGCCCCAGCAGGTGTCCCAGTCATGTGATTGACAATCTTTTTTTTATTTTTTATTGTTATGTTAATCACCATACATTACATCATTAGTTTTTGATGTAGTGTTCCATGATTCGTTGTTTGTGCATAACACCCAGTGCTCCATGCAGAACGTGCCCTCTTTAATACCCATCACCAGGCTAACCCTGACAATCTTACAGTCATGCTGAATGTACATGCACATTGTAACTCTGCCCTCTTTTCTTCATTTCTGCTTCATTGTCTTACCCTAGACCAGGCAAATAGGATTCCATCACTAATAAACTGGTGGTGAACTTCTTACAGTGTTGAAAAGACGCCGTAGATAGATGGTTGTACTCTGACTCAGTGTGCATTTGAAACATTCTTCTTAGTAAGTTTGGAACTTTTCTAAGTGCAGCTACTGAAGATGCCTCAGGGTTTTGTGTGTGTGTGTGTGTGTGTGTTTCCTAATCTTAAAGTATCATGTGTTATAAAATAACTTAAGTGTATTTTATTTTGGTACTACCTAAGAAGTTACCTTACAAGTTCCATTTAGCTCAGTTAACATGGGAATTGTGGCCATTTGCTGACCTAAAGAAAATACCAACCCACAGAATGATTTTAGAGAATCTTCCACAAGTGTGCTTCTGGGAGGAATCAATACTTTTTTACTTAAAACCAACTTTGATTTCCTCATTTCCAATACTTTGTGCAGGTAGTTTCTCTGTGGTTTAGGATTATGAATTAAGCAACAAACTCTCTGTTTCGGTATGAAATTTAATACAAATCTTTCTTGTGTGTTCAGCGGCCATTGCAGTCATTTGGACAGACAGGAAAAAGGTCTAAGGTATAGTAAATATTTTGTGCTGGCATGCCAAGGGCCTTCCTTCATGCTTGATGAATCCTTGTTTTCATACAGCGCTGCATTCAGTTTAGTTTTGTCATATTTTGTTTGGGGCAGAAAGCTTATTTTCTTTTATTTGGGGTTTTTGTCTTGCCTAGTCGCTTTTGTGCATTGCTTTTATATCTTTAATGGTTCTCTATAGAGAAAATGGCTTTCTTACCATTCTTTGGGTTTTGAAATTAGAATTAGTCCCATTCTTGCTATTGCTACAGTTTTTGAAACTGCAGTTACTTGTTTTCACTCTTAACGAAAGGTTTTGTGATATTTAATGATATATTTAACTTGTACATTTCACCTACTTTTATACATGGCAGAAACTATAAAGAAACTTTCTAAGAAACTCTAGGGGGCTTTTGGATATGCCCTAGATTTGTGAAATGTAGTGTTAATTTTAAATACTTTTCTTTAGTCAAGCTCAAAGTTAAAGCTAGTTCGGAGCCTTGCAGTGTGTGAAGAATCTCCACCACCCCCTACAGCAGAGATATCACAGGAGAACCAGGTAAAAAAAACAAACAAAAACAAACAAAACAAAACAAAAAAAATTGTTATTTAAAGACATGGTGCAGTAACCTGCTTCCTGAAGAGTATTTTTTCATAAGGCTAAATAAAAGTTGTATATGCATGTGTGTGCATTATGTATGTGTTTTCATATTTTTTTATTTTTAATGAGTGAAACTGATTTTATAATACTTGCTACTGAAGATACACATGAAAAGGTGGAAAAACCTTATTACTTCAACTAACGCTTAGTGCAGTAGCTTCTCTCTGGAAAAATGTAGGGATTATATACATAACTGGGAATATGACTTTAAGGGATTATAAATGATTCTTGAAAAGTTATAAAATATTAAAGTAGTACTGAGAGTGAATGTAATTGTGGTGAAATTTGCCCTTTTGATTTTGGCTTTTATAAATTTGTTAAACACTTACTGCTTGTGTGTGAAGAGGAGAGACTACCCAAGACTTTGGCTTGATGTATTATTTTACTTATTAACCTGAATGCATGGTGAAGCCAGTTTTCTAGTTAGGTTGGCTGTAATAGTTTAATACTTCTAATTTCTCTTCTGTCTGTGCTTGTAAAATATTGAACAACTGAGTTTCAAGCAAATGGTTCAGTTTGCCTTTTGTATTCTTTTTAATGCTGTGGCTTTACTTTTCTAATAATCTTAACTATGCATTGATCTTTGTCTCATGTTACCTTTGGACATTTATACATAAATATTTTAGGACCCTCTACCAATGTTTTCATCAAGTGTGATAACTTTGCCTTTTTGTGGTTTGTTCTACTTCTTAAGGGATTGTGCATGTCTGATATCCCCTTACATCCCAATAATCCATTTTCAAAGAATTAAAGCAACTTCATGGTTATTTTAGAAACTATGACTAAAAAGAGGAAGGAAAAAAATGACCATGGCAGGTTGTACATCTTTTTTTTAAATAAATGCCAATTGTACATTTATTAATTCAAAAACAGACTGTTGTGCTTTACCTTGATTTAGAAGCTTCTACTCTCAAAACCCTCCTATAGATATTGAAGATAGTTGTCATATATTTAGAACGTGTTGGGTTCTTAAAAAATACTTCACTTCTTTGTTTCCAAAATACAAGAAAAGGAAGGTTTTGAAAATAAATTATTTATTGTCAATGAAGAATATACACAAATTTGTTTCCTTTGAAATTTGTTCAAGTGTCAGGAACATGGGGTTAAAAATTTGTGATTTTTATTTAAAATTTAACTACATGGTTAGAAGTAACTAAATAGTCTATAAAGTAGATAGACTTTAGTAATAAAATAATGGACTTTCAAGCAAGAAGCTGAAATATAATCAAAATATTTTATTAAGAATTATTGCCTGGAGAACATTTTTAAATGTTAACCTTTGGCTTTTACATGGTTGTTGACAAGGTTGAAGAGTTATGGCACACTTTGGAAGAAATGAATGAAATTTTTTTTAAATAGCAATTTTAAAAGTTATATTGTACAAGTCAGAGTAAACAGTACACCTGTACAAGGTGGAGCAGTGGATATTGTAACGTTTTTTGAAAATTCATTTCTTCATTCCGCTATCCAAAATGTTGCATCATCTTAGCCTCATGGAATTAATCCAAGGTTATTGAGAAAATGAGAAGGGTCAGGCATTCATAAGACTGTTAATACGGAAAAAGTACATACTTTTTGAGAAAAAGTGTAATGTGATCTTAGGTCTTATTCAGTACATTTTAACCAGATCTGAAAAATATTAGAGGGAAAATTCTCACAGTGCTACATAAATATGCCTAGTGAAAATTTATATGAGAAAAAATATCAAGATTGTATGTTGTATATTAATACATATATTATTGATCAGAGATAATAATTTTTGTTTATATAAAGTTCAAAAAGCTGAGTTTATAGCATGTGAAAAATGAATAAGGTATTTATGCCAGAGTTCAGTATTCCACTTAATAGGTTCTTTCTCAGTTTCTCTTGGATACAATATATTTTTTCTTTTCAGATAATAACCCATTATTATTCTCTCTGAGCAAAAGATATTCCTTTTAGTAGAAAGTTGTCTTCTTCCAAGCCTTGAGTTAGCTAAATTGCACCTGAATGGGAATTAGAAAATGAACTATTTCTCATGAAATGTGGTAGTATCTAATTCTTGGCAGTAGAGACACTTTCCAACTAATAATGCCTGCTTCAGAATGTGATTTTTGAGGAATTAATCTGGAATAAAACTCATTGTTCAAAAGATTGAGAGGCAATTAAAAGAGAAATGTCACTTGTGTCTGATGAGAGCTTATGAGAGGGAAGTGACCTCAATAACAGCTTTCAATGACAGAGTGAAGAGTAAAGGAATTACAGTTTCCTATGGAGATGTTGCTATCCTTCCAGTTATTTATAGTCAGAAGAGTTCATTTAAAAGGACTACTGAGTTTAAAATATGTCTTGTTTATTTGCTACTAAAAACAAGGCCTCAGTACCAACTGAAAGCAAGGCCTCAACATATAAAGCCTACTGGATTTTTAAATACATTTCATCTTGATAAAATAATTCAGTATCTGTAATTAAAATGCAGGGCTTTGGGAAGGGAATTTAGCAATGAAATTTGATAATGGAAGTTCCTTTTAGTGAAGGTCTAAATGCGAAATCTTTTCTTCCAACCTGGATTCCATAGATTATTCTTGAGTAGGAGTAGAATTTATAAGTCAGGAAAACTTCTGTAATATTCTACTTCTGAAACATAGTTCTGGGATTCCTTTTTAAATATCTGTTTTACATTTAGGAATAAAATAAGGAAAGATTAGAAAATGAGTCATAATGAGAAAAATTACTTACCAGTTGATGAATATATGAAGTTGTTTAATGTATGAAGTTTAGTAAGCAAGATAAAGGAAGGGCATAAAGCAAGTATTCATCATTCTAATAAAAATTGCCATGCAGAGCTTTTGCCCTATATTCTAAGCACAAATTTGAACTGAGGTAGAATGGGAAGCAGAAGTAAAAGGAGATAAAAATAGCAGTCACCATCCCTATAGGAAAAAATACATATATATGATCTGAAATCCTGCCAAATATTATTTCAAAAAAATTATGTGGGGGGGGGAAGGTTAATAAAATTCTTGTGGTTGCAAGTTTAACTCCTGAAATTTATATCCCCTTTGATGTTGACTTATTAGACCTATTTCCACCACAGCTATCACCCAGAAAAGTGAAGTAATTATCTGATCAGAGTTTTTCATCACTAAAGAATAGCATCATTTAGTCTACAAATAGATCATACCTCTAGCATTAGTAGAAATGGTCTGGAAGTTATTCTACCTTTATAACTTTGCCTGAATAAACAGAGCAATGTGATTTGATTTTTTTTTTTTTTGCCTTATTAGGATATGTGAATTCATTTCCAACAATTTCTTTGGGTTCTGAAATTATATGTAATGACACTGTTTTTGAAATGGAATGTAGAATTCCTTCTCCTTTTCAGTTTTATAGAATGTGATTACTTCACAATTAAATATTACATATCCAGAAGGAAAACAATCTTGTTTGAAACCTTTCTAAAACTTTGTGGTGATTGAAGGAGGAATAGTAATGTGTAAATCATAAATTAAAAATAATCAGTTGTGTGGATTTGGTTTTGGAAAGTTTTACTTACATTTTTATATGTTAAGAGAATGGAGGAGTATGAGATTATAATGGATACTCAAAAAATTATTTTTTAAGTATTGACTTGTCACTCGTTCCTCTTGTCATAATTGATGATAATTATTATTCTTTTGTTTGGCCGTGGCTTCTCCAGTACAAAAATAGGTTAAGAAGACCTTGCTTCTGACTCTTTAGGGGTTTCATAAGTAGATACCTTCAGAGTAATATAGAAAATACTTATGTTCTCTGAAATAATTTTGAGGATATGTTTCAATTGATATATTCAACTCAAAACATTAACATTTTCTGTCTAGACTTAGATAAAAACAAAAATATTAAGTTGTATTCCAGTTTGAAGAATCTAATTGGATAACATAAAAACTGTGTTCCTTTCCTCCTCTATACAGTTTTGTGTTACTCAAAAATTAAATGTATGGTATTAACTAAATTGCTTTATATTTTCATTTATAACTGATTTTGCCTTCCAACAGGAGAAAATTCAGATCCAGTTAACGCAATCATTTGAAAAAGAGGAGAAGCCCTCAAAAGATGAAGCAGAAAAAGAAAAAGCCAGTGATAAGTTGCCCAGAAAAATGTTATCAAGAGGTTTGCGATTTATTTCTGTTTTCAAACAAAATTTTAATTTTAACATCAGTAATTCCATCCTTTACCCCCAGAAAAATTAAAAATAGTATATCTGTAGTAAAAATGCTAACAGAACAGACTGAAGGGATGATAAAATATTTGTTCATCTGGGCAAAATGGCAACACAAATCTGAACATCAGTAAGATGCTTCAGCCAAAAAACTGCAACATATTCCAGGATCACTGAGGCAGGTAACTGTCTTGACCTCTTATTGGTCTCTCATAATGGAATACTGGAATCACTATAATTTGAATACTTGATTCTGCTAAAAATAATACTACTCTTTAATTCTTTATGATACAACGATCTGATGCCAAAATACTCAGTATCCAGTAAGAATATTCTTGGAAACCCAGAATGATTATCTTTCATAATCAGTTTCAAGGAACTCCACCATCATCTAGCATTGCAAGTCAGTAAAAATGCTTCTTTGATTTGTAAACCCAGTTACATTGGCCGGTATTATAAACAGCATAAGTATATTACATTTAGGGGGAAAAACTTAAATATGCAAAACTATGCATGCATAGTCTGGAAAACTATTTTGAAAGCAAGCCTTTGGTGATAGACGTGATCAAATCTAATTAAATATTCTTTCAGAACTAGAATTCCTACCTACCTCCAAATTATTGCCTCTGCATATATTCATAACTGAACTAAGCTGTCTTAATTTGCACTAAATGTAGATGATTTAACTCATTCTAACTTTTCACTCAAGGAGGCATTTTTAATCATGAGAATTGTGTGTATATAAAAGGGTCTTTAAAGAATTTAGAGTAAATTAAACTGGCACATGTAAGAAAAAATTTTAAGGACATGCATGTACATGCAGTTATATAAATCGATGTCACGTTTATCATATGGGAATAGAAAGCTTGTGGTCATCTGAGTTCATCATAAACTCCCTTTTCCTAATTTGTCAATTTTTTTCCCATGTGGGGCATCTCATTTAAGATTATGCATCATGTGTGAAAGGGAAAGGGATTTGTTTTCAAACAGCTTTATACTGGGTTTTTGTGTTGTTGTTTTTTAGATTCCAGTCAAGAATACACTGATTCAACTGGCATAGATCTACATGAATTTTTAGTAAATACATTAAAAAACAATCCCAGGTAAAAATTAAATTTATAAGGTTTACATTGCTTAGAGTACCATAATTTTGCTATGTTTGTTTTCATTACTGAGTTAGAATATTAGAATAAGATTGCAGTGTTTGAAGAACACGAGAAACATTTTAGTTTCTTAGGGCTAAGATGTTGTTGGTCTACTATATGAACATGTATAAATAGTTCTTTGCATTATTCATGTCCCATGATATAAAAATAACTCATCCTTTTTGTAGGAATTTTTGGAAATACAGAATCACCAAGATATTTTGGCTCTTAATTGAGGTAGAGAGGTAATCATGAATCATGGAAAAGAAAAAGAAAAAACTTCCCTCGTAATAATACTCCCAACCACATAAGAACTTGGTGTATTCATTTATATGAGTTTTTGAACTTAGCTAAATGCAGAATTTTTGTTCCTTCTTAGGTATTAACCTTCAACCCATAGATTTTTAAGATCCTTATGTGGGTCACTGTGAAACCCTTTGTACTGCCAGGGTACTAATGAATAGACTCTAACTTTCTGGTAGGTCATTGACCCCTTTGTGGCATTCTCCCCACAACAAGGCTTATCCACAAAATACACGTCCATGGGGTAGAAGACTCCAAGGTTGAGAATCCCTCTTCTAGATGTTAGCTTCCCGGAGTGATAGTTTTTTAACATACACTAAAAGGAAAGTATAACAGTTTCTTTGGGTGTATGCACATGGAAGAAAACAGGAATAATTCTCTTTAGTCTCACTGAGGCTTATGTCGTGCTTCAAGATAATCTTTATTTTCATTCAGGATTTATTGTAGTCAGTATCATCTGGGTTTTCTATTTTACATTCAACATAAACGCCAAAAAGAGAACCACCGAAATGAAAAGCGGTCTCCTTGTAAAAAGGGCTGAAGGAGTATATAGTATGGAGTGAGGAAGAAGATAAGACAAGTCTGCATGACTTATTTTTTTTCTTCAGTTCAAGTTTATTCCTCAGTGGTCCCAATAAACAATTAATTCATCGAACAAGCATTTACTGAGCATCTGTCATGTTCCAAGCGTTGTGCTAAAAAAAATAGTAGATATAAAGATAAAGAAGATATAATCTCTGCCCTAAAGTATTCACCATTTCTGAGCTAGAAAAAAAGACATGATACATAATTAAAATAGAATTGATGTGTGGGGAGCCTGGTTCTGCCACTCCCGACTGCTTGTGTACTCTCTCTCTTTCTCTCTCTGTCAACTAAATACATAAAATTTTTTAAAAAAAACAAAATAGAATTGATGTTGTTCAAGAAGTTTTTGGAGTTTTATAAAAATCCAGGGAGGAGGCTTCAACCTCGTTTTGAAAGGATATGGGAAGACTTCACTGAAAATATATATGCCTGAGCTGAGCCTTGAATTCACGGTGCTTTAAGTAGAAGCTGTCCTTATAGAGAAGCATGAGAAAGGCATTCTAGATAGATACACGTGCATTGACAAGATACAGTAGTGTTGGGCGCCTGGGTGGCTCAGTTGGTTGAGCGACTGCCTTCGGCTCAGGTCATGATCCTGGAGTCCCCGGATCGAGTCCCGCATCGGGCTCCCCGCTCAGCGGGGAGGCTGCTTCTCCCTCTGACCCTCCCCCCTCTCATGTGCTCTCTCTCTCTCATTCTCTCTGTCTCAAATAAATAAATAAAATCTTTAAAAAAAAAAAAAGATACAGTAGTGTGTGAATAGTATACTTCCTCTCTCACACATATTCTGGCTCCAGCAGGGAGGCATATGGCAGGTGATTCTAGAAAGTGATGGGGAAGGTGTTGGTGAGGTATGAAGACAGCCCATTTCCATTTGTCCTTGACCTAAGATTGTACCAACATTATGGGGTGGTGAGTCCCAGTGAGTGTGGAGTGCTACTGGGAAGCCAGGGATGCTAAAAAGATTTTTAAGACAGTAATGAACAGTGAAAAATAGTCTTTTTTGAAATGTCAGTAGTGTACCATTTAAGAAGTACTGAGTTTGACATGCTAAGTTGAAGAATAATTAATGGATTTTGTATAGGGTAATGCCATAATCAGATGTGCGTTTTAGAAAGATTACTTTGGCAGTGAGGGCCCAATCCCACAAACAAAGAGTGTGGCTAGGAGACCATAGGGAAGAATAGAGAAAGATACTTAGGAAGTACCATGGTAGTGGTGTGATACGGTAGAACAGAGTAGCCACTAGGTTTCTGGCTAGGCTGACAGCCCCATTAACTGCAAAAGTGGGTAAGGAGCAGGCCTGAATGGAATAGGGCATGTTTTGTTATAAATAAGTATAGTTTGAGGTGCCTGATGAAAAAATCAAGAGATGAGATCTGTCCAAAATTAAAAGGCTCTGGTTTTCAAGTAAATAGGGCTGACTCAAGTAATAGATTCACTTGTCACTAGTAGAGATGGAGCTTGAGGAGGATGTATTTGCCCTGAGAGATGGAATAAATGACAAGGATAAAATTCTGTGGAAAGACAGCACAGACAAGGTAGATGAGAAAGGAAGAGACTGTCTTAAAAGCAGAACAATCATGAGAACATTTGTCTGAGTTAGGGGCAGGGAGTGGCGGCCTGGGTGACTCAGTCAGTTAAGCATCTGATTCTGGATTTCTGTTCAGGTCATGATCTCAAGGTCATGAGGTGAGCCCCTCATCAGACTCCACCCTGGTTATGAAGCCTGCTTGAGATTCTATCTCTTTCTCCCTCTCCTGCTGTCATTTCCCCCTCCACCTCCCCCGCCCCACCCTCTTTTTCTGTCTCAAGAAAAAAAAAGTTAGCCAGCGGGTCAGAAGCCAGGAGCTGTTTCATGAAAGATAAAATAACACAGGGACTTGAAAATAGAAGTACCAAAATCAGCCCACTAGGCTGAGAAATTAGGAAATTGGTGGCTATTTTAATAAATTGTTCCATTTGGGGTGGGATGGTGGAAACCAGAACTCAGTGAGTTGAGGAATAAGGGGGAAGGTAGAAAACATGTAGCTAATTTCCATGAAACAAAATAGGATGCTAGAAAGGCAGCATTTTTCTTTCTCTGAACCTGTAGGAGAGACCTTGGTAAGGACAAAAATTAGAAGTCTATACATCCCAAAATATTTTTCTGTTGTAAGTTCTCTGTTTTCTTCTACAAATGCAAAAGTTTTAAAGTTATCTGCATATATATTTTTAAGTGTACAATTTAATGGTTCTCTTATACCCACAGATATATGTAGCTGTCACTACAGTCAATTTTAGAATTTTTTCATCATTCCAAAAACAAACCTTGTATTCTTTAGCTATCATCTTCCTATGCTCTGAGCTCTAATCTACTTTATATCTCTATAGATTTTCCTGTTTTGGATATCTCATAGGAATGAAATCATGTGTATGTGGTCTTTTGTGGACTGGCTTCATTCACTTAGCATAATATTTTCAGGTTTCCTCCATGTTGTAGCATGTATCAGTACTTTATTTTTTTTCTGGGTATGCATTTATATTTGAATAAACATAAGTGAATAATTCATGTAATGGCTAGTATATAAGTTATTACTAATGTCAATGTGGTTTAAAAAGTTGTAGCAAACGTTAAATTTTGTGAGAAATAAAATTTGCTTAATTAATGACTCAGTGTTCTCTCGATAAAACACACAATTAATTACCAGATATACATGGTACAAAAGTAGTAGTAAGTATAACAGGTTTCCACTAAAACTTTTAAGATTCAATATAGCTCAGAGAGTTCTGCTAGACTTTAAGCAGATTTATTTTTAGTAATATAAAAATTCAGTCAGTGTTTCATTTCAAAATTTTTCTTCTGATCATAAAATCTTTATCTTATTCTTAGCCAAATAAATAAACTTAGCTCCAAATGTAAAATAATTTATCAGTAATTCCTATTGCAAAAAGTATTTGCAGAGGCTATGTTAACTAGTCATTGCTGATTTAGAACCTAAGAACCTAAAATTGACTTTGATAGAAATTATACTCAGTGACATGATCTTCTGCCTATTTTTGTATTGATTTTATATCCATTTTGTGTAAATTCCATGTGTAGTAAAGAAATATGGATAATACAGGCAACTGTGTTACATAACTAATGGGGGGGAGAAACTTTTGGATTAATCCTGAGAATGGGTATTTTAAAAGTAATTTGGTTTGCTCTGGGGAATGTCATGTAAGAGTTCTGTTTTAATTTCTAAAATTGCTTTTATTGGGAGTAATGTTTATTTTATTTATCTGCTGCAAATGTTTGGCCAGGCTCATATGGAATATTGGGAAGGGGGCTGGTTAGGTAGAGGCATTATTGTTTTCTGGGTTTTTTTTATTTGCCATTGGTATACTAGCTGTGTACAGTTTCTCTAAAGTTATTTCTGGTATAATGGCTAGAACACTGATAACTAAAAGATTTTTTTTTAAGATTTTATTTATTTATTTGAGAGAGAGAGAATGAGAGATAGAGAGCATGAGAGGGAAGAGGGTCAGAGGGAGAAGCAGACTCCCTGCTGAGCAGGGAGCCCAATGTGGGACTCGATCCCAGGACTCCAGGATCATGACCTGAGCCGAAGGCAGTTGCTTAACCATCGGAGCCACCCAGGCGCCCCTTTTTGCCCCTTCATTTTAACTTTAGGTAATAGCTTATTGATTGGTTTGATTGAGATCCCTGTTCTTATTTTTAAAATAATAGACAGCATACATTGGTTCCCTTTAAAAGTATACAATAATTTCGGGGCGCCTGGGTGGCTTAGTCATTGGGTGTCTGCCTTCGGCTCAGGTCATGATCCCAGGGTCCTGGGATCGAGCCCCCCATCAGGCTCCCTGCTCCTCAAGGGGCCTGCCTTTCCCTCTCCCACTCCCCCTGCTTGTGTTCCCTCTCTCGCTGTGTCTCTCTCTGTCAAATAATTAAATTATAAAAAAAAAGTATACAATAATTTCAATAAGTATGCCCATTCTTAGGTTCATGTGCTAAACCTTATGCCTTGGGAAAAGTAATTTGTGCACCTATTAGTTTGAGTCCTATATGCAGTGCTTCTCTAAAGGGTTATTAATTTTTTAACTTACAATCATTACCAAAATATCTAACCTTGATTACATATTACAGGAAGCGTATATTAAGCTGTAGTAGATAAAAGGCAGGAAGTGTAAAGAATTTAGGAAGATTACCAGCCTTATTTTTCTAACAAGTTATACTTCTTAGTAACTAAGAGTTTAGTAAACTAAGCAGGGAGGCTTAGTTTAAATAGTGTGGTCCAGATAATGATAAAAAATCCTCTGCAAGACATCCAAACGGCCAACAGACACTTGAAAAAGTGCTCAACATCACTTGGCATCAGGGAAATCCAAATCAAAACCTCAATGAAATAACACCTTACACCAGTCAGAATGGCTAAAATGAACAAGTCAAGAAAACGACAGATGTTGGCAGGGATGTGGAGAAAGGGGAACCCTCCTACACTGTTGGTGGGAATGCAAGCCGGTGCAGCCACTCTGGAAGACAGTATGGAGGTTCCTCAAACAGTTGAAAATAGAGCTACCATACGATCCAGCAATTGCACTACTGGGTATTTACCCCAAAGATAAAAATGTAGTGATCCAAAGGGGCACATGCACCCCAGTGTTTATAGAAGCAGTGTCCACAATAGCCAAACTGTGGAAAGAGCCAAGATGTCCATCAACAGATGAATGGATAAATAAGATGTGGTATATATAGATATATAGAGATACACACACACACACACACACACACACACACACACACACACACACACACTAGAATATTATGCAGCCATCAAAAAAATGAAATCTTGCCATTTGCAACAACATGGATGGAACTAGAGGGTATTATGCTAAGCGAAATAAGTCAATCAGAGAGCGACGAGTATCATATGATGAATTTGAGAAACAAGACAGGATGATAGGGGAAGGGAGGGAAAAATGAAACAAGATGAAACCAGAGAGGGAGACAAACCATAAGAGACTCTTAATCTCAGGGAACAAACTGAGGGTTGCTGGAGTGGAGGGGGGTGGGAGGGATGGGGTGGCTGGGTGATGGACATTGGGGAGGGTATGTGCTATGGTGGGTGCTGTGAATTGTGTAAGACTGATGAATCACAGACCTGTACCCCTGAAACAAATAATACATTATATGTTAATAAAAAAAAAATCCTCTGCAATCCATAGATGTACGTGTGAAAGAAAAAAAGCAGCCTGAATTTTTATCAGTGGCTAGTAAAATTGTTAGAATTTTTTCTTTCATGGAGACAACAAAAATTTCTTTTCAGTAGCAACATATTCACTGAAGAACATTTCACAGATCTTTTGCCCACTGTTCAGAAACAGAAAACCATTTTTTTTTCTATCTTGTATGATAAAAGTATTCCTACCTTGGCTTCCCCCACTCCATCGCTTCCATTTGCATGGTAAATGTTTTTCCATCCCTTCACTTTCAATCTGCATGTGTCTCTAGGTCTGAAATTTGTAGATAGCATATAGATGGATTTTTTTTAATCCATTCATTCATCCTTTGTCTTTTGATTGAAGCATTTAGTGCATTTAAAGTAATTATTGGTAAGTGTGTACTTAACAGCCATTTCGTTACTTGTTTTCTGGTTGTTTTATAGTTCTCTGTTCTTCTTCTCTTGGCTTTCTTCCCTTGTGGTTTGATGAGTTTCTTCGGTGTTATGCTTGGATTCCTTTCTCTTTTTATGTGTGCATCTATTGTAGGTTTTTGATTTGTGGTTACTATTATGTTCGTATATAACATACGTATAGCAGTCTATATGAAGTTGATGGTCACTTAAGTTTGAACTGCGTTAAAAGCACAAAATTTTTACTTCCCTCCCCCATGTTTTATATATATATGATACCACATTTTACATCCTTTTATTTTGTGTATCCCTTGCCTGATTTTTGTAGATACAATTTATTTTACCACTTGTGTGTTTTAACCTCCATATTGGCTTTATTATAGGTTTGCATTTACCAGTGAAACAGAAGACCAACTTGAAAGTACTATTTCATGAATGCTTAATGAATTGCCTGCCTCAGATTCCTTTTTTTTTTAAACAATAAGTATATAAAATACATCAGGAAAGTTAGAATTATTTCATCTCAGTACACATTGTACTCAAAAGGTTAAATGAAAAGAGGGTCTTATAGTTACATAAATAAGTCCTTTTGTGGGGGAGGGAGCCTTCTGAAGTAAACCTTCCCAACCACCCCAAAAAACTTCAGGGAAAAAATATTAAAAGATTTTATGAGTGAAATAATTTGATTAATAGATTCCGTGCAGATACATTTGTTGAGCTCCTCTATATAGTCCAAATAAGTATACAATGATAGTTGTGACAAATGCTTTTAAAGAAAAGTGTGAAAGAAGCAGGTTCTAAGAAAGAATATAGAAACTTGTTCTAGGCAGAGGAAACCACATGTTCAAGTAACCGGAGACAGGAAGGAGCTTGGCAAGTAGAGAGATAAGCCAAAAGGATAAGAGTTTTGTGATTAAGGGGCAGAAGATGAGGCTGAAGAGGTAGATAAATGTAGGCCCCATTACAGATACTTATTTTTAACCTAAGAGCAATGGGAAGCCTATGATAAATATTTAACCAAGGCAATAACGTGGTCACGTGTGTTTTTAGAAGATCGTTATGGATACTCCAAGTAGAACAGATAAGGAGGGAACAAGGGAGGACAATAGACGAGGGTTCTAGTAGTCAAGCCAGAGATCCTGCTTGCTTGGATCCAGGGTAGCAGCAGTGAGAAAAAGAAGAAAAATAGAAGGCAGATAAAATTTGCAGTAGTAACTAACTGCATAGGAGGATTAGAAAAAGGATTATAGCAGGCCACAGATGCTTCTAGTACAGTATGCTGGGTGAAAGAAAGTGCCACTTACTGAGATGAGGAATACCAAAGGTGAACCAGGCTTGGGGCA